GGGGCCGGTTTCCATGGAAACCCTGTCCCTGCACTATCACAGGGTGGCTGCTGCTGGGGTCTCCATGGAAACCAGTCCCAGTGTCATGGGCAGGGGCTGCTGGGAAATGGAGTCCACTGCTGGCCAGATCTAGCCTGTGGGCTGGACTTTGCCTGCCCCTGGTGTAACTGCTGCAGTCTGCAATGTAATGCACTCAGGCACATCCTTGTTACATTCACTGGGGATCAGAGCAGTGGCTAGTGTCTGCCAGTCAGTGGTGGCTCCAAGGATGGGGGTCCTAATCAGTGCTCTAGCTAGTGTCAGTTTGGGTAAGCGATTTCTAACTGAGAAAGTAGCTGCAGCTTGGAAGCAGCTGTGGCCACCTGAGCTTGCCCCCTTCAGCAGGGCTAGCAAACATTTGTATGGAAAGCTTGCAAATTCTTGGGGCTGCCACTGGGTGACAGGTTATTGATGGTAGTGTAAAGGGGCTGGGGAGCCCAAGGGGACCTTCTCTTGTGGGCAACCTCTAATCTAGCTTTGTCAGAGAGAAGGAGGCTCTGGATTACAGCCTGCTTCTTCCCCACTATACTTGTGGATGGGAGGGAGCCTCCCTGGAATGAGTATGGAATTAGAGGATCTAGCTGTCACAGGCAGCAAGTATCATTTCACAGATTTCATAGACATTAGGAATCCTCACAAGATCATCGGGTCCAGCCCCCTACCCAAAGTTCAGGCAGTCAGCAAGGGTCAAATGATCCCAGCAGGATAGGCATCTAAGCGTTTCTTAAAGAAATCCAGAGTAGGTGCCTGGGGTCTATTCCAGGCCCTGGGGACTCGGACAGTAAAGAAGTTTTACCTTATGTCCAGTCTAAATCGGCCTTCCAACAGTTTGTGACTGTTGGACCTAGTCTTCCCATGGGGTGCCCTGGTGAAGTTCCCGGTGCACACCCCTGATATATCATGAGTTTCTTTGCTGCTTTTTCATGGCAGGCTGGGAAACCACAACTCCTTTCATGACTTTTTAAATAACCCTGGCCCAGTGAGCACCTTTTCTTCCCTGCCAAAGGACTTCTTCTAACCTTATTTATATTATTAAAATTTCTGCCTAGCCTCCCTGTAGGGACAAACAACAGGAGGGTGCTGGGGTGCACCCAGAAAGTGAGATCACCTCCAGACATGTCCCCCCCCAGAGCCGGTCCACAATTCCTGGGCTCCGAGCTGCCTCCTTGGCCTTATTCACAAAGTCTGTGTGCTGGCCGGGCTGAGGCAGCCAGCCGGTGCATGAAGCCACCTGGGACCTGTGTGTGCCAACAGGTGACGCAAATGCCCACCTGGCCAGGACTCACTATGAATCCTCACTGTGTGCAGAAACAGCTCATCACAGTCATCTGTAATTTTAATCAGTCAAAATGTTCTGGGTGCCAATTAAGTTCCTTTGCTTGGTAATTGGTCCTGCGGTGTATGTGTCTGGCTGCGGTTGCTGTAATAAATGAAGAGCAAGGTGGTCTGGCATCAGACGACTAAGAATTGTGGTGGAGTTTCTCACGGGAATTTTTTTTTTTTAAAAGGAAGATCGGGATGTTTTTTCCTCAATGATAGGCTCTAGTTCAAAGAAAAGTTCCTTGAGAACAGACCTATATTATGCTGGTGGTCAGATGTGATCCTAACACAGCCTCTTCTGGCCTTATAAGCCATGCCTTGCTCAGTGAATCTTTAATGTCTGTGTGGAAAATTTTACCCAAGAGCATTTCAAAAGGGTTCAGGTCCCATTTTTAAAGGGACATGGCCACTTAGCCCTTCAGAGAGATTTAGGGACAGTAGGGAGTTTTACCACCATTTTATAAATTTTCACAGAAACTTCACCCTAAGATCAGAAGGGGCCATTGGATCAGCTAGTCTGACCTTCTTTGTAACCGAGCCATGGCGTTGTACCCAGCTGGCCCTATATGGGACTCAATAACACACGTAAACACTTGAGTCTTCCAAAACCCCTTGATTTGAAGATGACAAGTGAAGAGAGTCCTCCACTTCCGTTGGTAGCTTGCAGCTCATGTCACCCATCTGAAAATAAGATGCAGGTTCATACCTGGCTTTAACTTGTTGTCGTTGGTTCCTGTTAGGCTTTACTACCCAGAATTTCTTCTCTGAGGTGTATAAGGAACTCTTAGCTAGAAAAGGAAGATGGCATAGAGTGCACCCTCAACAAGTTTTCAGATGACACCAAGGTGGGAGGAGTAGTAGATACGTTGGAGGGTAGGGCTAGGATTCAGTGACCTAGACAAATTGGAGGATTGGGACAAAACAAAACTCATGAGGTTCAACAAGGACAAGTGCAAAGTCCTGCACTTAGGACAGCACAGTCCCATGCACCCGTACAGGCTGGGGGATGACTGGCTGGGCAGCAGCTCTGCAGAAAAGGACCTGGTGGTTACAGTGGACAATAAGATGAATATGAGCCAGTAGAGTGCCCTGGTTGCCAAGAAGGCTAACAGCAGACTGAGCTGCATTGGTAGGAGTGTTGCCAGTAGGTCAATGGAAGTGATGGTTATTCCTCTCTATTCAGCACTGGTGAAGCCACGTCTGGAGTACTATCTTAAGTTTTGGGCCCCCCACTACAGAAAGGATATTGACAAATTGGAGAGAGTCCAGCAGAGGGCTACAAAAATGGTGAGGGGGCTGGGGCACATGACTTCTGAAGAAAGACTGAGGGAACTGGGCTTATTTAGAGAAGAGACTGAGAGCAGATTTAATAGCAGCCTTCAACTAGATAGTTTCATAGTTTCTAGGGTGGGAAGGGACCTGAACAGATCATCAAGTCCGACCCCCTGCCCTGGGTAGGAACGAGTGCTGGGATCATAATACCCCAGCCAGATATCTATCCAACCTCCTCTTGAAGACCCCCAAGTTAGGGGAGAGCACCACCTCCCTTGGGATCCCATTCCAGAGCCTGGCAGCCCTGACCATAAAGTAATGCCTGAAGTGGGGTTTGAAAGAGGATGGAGCTGGACTGTTCTCAGTGGTGGCAGGTGACAGAACAAGGAGCAATGGTCTCAAGTTGCAGCAAGGGAAGTTTAGGTTAGCTATTAGGAGGAATTTTCTCACTAGGAGGGGAGTAAAACACTGGAACAGGTTATCCAGAGAGGTGGTGGTGGAAGCTCCATCCTTGGAGGTTTTCAAAACCGGGCTAGACAAAGCCTTGGTTGCGATGGTCTAGTTGGGGCTGGTCCTGCTTTGAGCAGGGAGTTGGACTAGATGGCCTCCTGAGGTCCCTTCCAACCCTAATTTGCTATGATTCTGTGATTCAGAGAGAGTGAAGTTACTTAAGTGTCCCATTATAAAGCATTTTTCCCCATCCTTCAGATAATTTCTGGGGCTTTCTCTTGTTAAAACTGTGGAAAGCTGAACTGGAGGAAACTATTCCACTATTGGGCCCAGGAAAGCTATATGCAGAGGTGAAATCACATCTCTTGTCTTTCTTACTACTCCTTAGTACTTTGTTACTAAGGTTTATATATCCAGGGCTTGCCTTAACTTTTTTGGTTTTATTTGCCACAGTCTCATGCTGAACACTCACGTTCTATTAACTGTCCCTTAGTCCTTCCCAGAGTCACCATTTTAAGGATGTCATCTCCCAGTTTGTAGGACCTGAATTCTTGCTGAAATATATTTGCATGCATCACAATTAAATGTGCCCACCAATCCAGATGGCTTTGCCTGATTACTCTGTTGTCTTCAGTAATTACCCTGCTCAAAGTTTTCTTCTCTAATTTTTGGCCTTTTTTGCCCTAATAGCAGGTCCCAATACACTGATGACCTGAGTTGAAGCCTGCTGGAGTCAATGCAGTCCAAAGCCAAATCCCAGCCCTACTTTTTTTTTTCTTTTTTTAATATGTAGCATTTATGGAGACAAGTGCTTGCCTAAGCAGTGCTGGAAGTCATGGAGCTTGTACTTGGATAGGCTTGTTTTAATTTCCACGCTACCCTTCACATGGAGGTTGAATGTGAGATGCTGTATCTAATGGGCTGTTACTTCATGTACATTTTGTTTTTTTTATTTAAAGAACAGGGAATTGAAGACTGCAGAGACTGAGAATGCTTCTCCTCTGATCCACACTCCAGGGCTAATGGTGGGAAAAAGCTCGCTGATCCCAAAAACATTTGTAACGGGTTGCCAAAGTCTTTCTAGTCTTGGCACATTGCGAACAGTGGACTTCAGAGCCTGTGTGTCACCTCATTTATTACGATATTCTCTCCCTATTCTCACTGCATTTGTTATGTTGTTGAATGTTAAAGGTGCATTGCTAAAATCTCCTAGTGGCTTCACTTTTCGTTTTATTATATACTTAAGATAAAATTTGTGACTGCCCTTCAGGTCACTCTCCCAAAGAAACTAGACGTGCTGGTTCCATCCCATGCTGAAAAATGAGGTAATAAGTGGTTGTTCCTCCTTTCCAATGTCCAAGAAGAGCCATAATAGCCCCATGCAGCTAACCAGACACCAGCAGCTGTGTGGCTTTTTTTTTCTCTATGATTTGATGTCTGAGGTGTTTAGGTCATTTGTTGTCAGTTATGCTGGCTTGTCTGGCGAGTCACCTCCCTACCTGGTCTGTTTTAAGAGGGTTCAGACTACCTGGTTTTCATCAACACCAAAAGGAGACAGTCCCTGTAATTAGGGACATGTGATAGCCATGCCATGCCTGTCCAACTAAGCAGCCTTTGGTTTATCCTCATAAACCAACACCTGTGAACAGAGCTGGGTGAGAAGATTTACAGCAGTTAGTAGAAGCCATGGTTTCTTCATAGCCATCTTTAAATCTTGTGCTTATGATTAACCATAATATAATAAACAGGATCCCACTGTATGCCTATCTGACCACACACGAGTACTCCAAGTTTAGCTCTTATATTTCAGATGTAGATCAACTTGCATCAAGACAGGCTTTTTCCTTGACAGAACTGCAAGTATTTATTACCCCCTTTCCCACACTGTAATTTTTTTCTCTAATGAGAATGCAGGTACCAACTGTTTAATTACAGGTTTATTTATAGAGTTGCTTTTTACGGAAAACTGCAAGAGAAACATTTGCCTCGCAATAATTTCTTTCCTGGCAATCATGTTCCATTTACAGAAGCACTGCATGTTAAAATACCCCAAAGCATGACTTACTATAAACTTAATAAATACTTTACAAAAATAATGCAGAGGTTTTCTCCCTTAACATCATGAACAGTTCTAGAACTCGCCCTCCCTTCCCTCTTTGAAAAATAAGTTTTTCTGTATAATACTGTGCACTTAATGCATTACTGGAAAGAATTATAAAATGCCACCTCTGTATCTTAGTACATATATTTTAAAAACAATGTAAAGCCTGTTTCTCCTCTTTCAAAAAGTGCCTCTTTCTTAGCAGAATCCTTCAAATTCAGTTTGGAGACTGATTCCTCAAGCTTTGTGTTAGTATCTTTTTAACCAGAGTCACCAGCCAGAGCAAGTTTGGGCTTTTTAGGCCCTGTGCTTTACATGCACACCACGAAACGGATCCTTACTCCATAAAATGGCATAAATCCATTGACATGAGGGGGAACTATGACAAGTCTCGCCAGCTGTGGATCTGCCCATGAAACCACCTACTTGTACGTCTTTGCAAGGTCCAAGTCTTTGGATTCTTCTGGGGTAGCTGCAAGGCTGCGTCTCCTTGACAGCTCACCCCAGATGCGTTTGCCCGGACCCGTTTGGATGAAAAGCTAAGTAGCTTTCTAGCAAGGAGTGATTAGGGTTTGGGCTTGGTTTCCTTGTTACCAGTATTCCTACTTGCTTTTCCCCTTCCAATAATTAGTATTCTTCCATCCCTAAAATCTCCTCCTGCCCCGTAGAAACAGGACTAAACATTTTCACAAATGCTTCTCCAGAGAAAATACTTTTAAAACATCTATATTCATATTAAATAAGTTATGTGTAAAAACTGCTTGCTTCAGAATGTTTGGTGGTGGTTCAATTTGGTGGTGGTCCTAGTGCAGCAAAACCCAGGCTTAAAATCCTGTTCTGGTCAGAGGGTTTAAGTACATGCTTAAGTGTTTTGCTGATTCTCATTTCATTTATCCCCAGGCTTCGCTTACTTCACACACATCCAATGCTGTGGTGAAGGGCAGATCCTCGCTCATATACCTGAATCAACAGGTATTTTGCTATTGACCTTAATGAGGGTAGGATCAAAGTTTGACTTGGATTTTGCAAGTGTGATGTGGAAGCAAAGCCCTTCTTTTAGCCCAACTATATTAATTTTCTCGAGGTTTTGAATTTAAAAAGTAAGTTTCTGCTACATATGTTTATCAGGAAAACGTGTGTACATGTTTGTATGAAGCAAGAGAGCTGAGTGTGTGAGAAATGCATATATAAATTACACACACTGCAAAAATACCCATGTATTATATACAGATATATACATTTGTTAGGAAGAAAAAGCAATCTTTCCCTTTTCAAGCAGATCATTCAACGAATGTTTTCAGTCTTGCAGCAACAAAGGCTGTCTGAGGAGTCCAGTCTTTTCAGTATTCTCTTGCTTCTTGGAACTGCCTATAATAGTCTTCATCTGAAGGGTTTTCTGTACATTTCTGGCCATTATTAGGCGGCCGTGCCTCATTGTATCTGCTCCAGTCCCCTTTGCAGATAATCCAAGGCAAAATGTCTACTTTGTAATGGAGCTCCGCTGAAAATTCAATGCTGATCAGGTTTGGCGTGCCTGCCCCTTTACCCCTGGTGATCAGCTGCATATTGTCATCGTAGCAGCAGTGCTGTGCTGCTAGAGTTGTGCTCTCTAAGGAAAGCATGGACCGGATGCAGTAGCGTGCAGTGGGTTTATATATCTCCAGTTTTTCCTTTGGCCCACTCGCATCTTTCCAGCGAAAGTTTTTCCGCTTACTCCGATCGTATATCTCAGCAGTGCTGTAGGCAACTTCTGTGGGGTAGGAGCAAGGGCAGCTGGGAAGGTCATTGACTACTTTGTGCATGTATTTCTTCAGGAACTCACTTTTACAGCTCATCCATCTTTCACAGCTGTCAGTATCTGTGTGAGGACAGGAAGTGAAAATGCTTTAAGACATTTCAGTGCTGCAAACATGTCAACATGACAACTACAGGGAGAATAAAATGAAGATATAATCACATTTGAGAAATGCAGCTATTCAGCAGGAAGCTCTGCTTAACCAAGGCAGGGCCGCAAGGCCCACTTGACTGCAACGTGTTACCTTATCTTGTTGCTAACTGGGGAGACACAATCTGTTGATAAGGGAGGCTCCAAGTAATACTACAGCATGTGACAACACCACAACAATACAAATCTTCAGTTCCTGCACAACTTTTACCTTTTTGGGATCTCAACACACCTTGCAAACTTTTCACTGAGCCCCCCAATAAGCCTATGAGGTGCAATAAGGCATTATCTCCATTTTCCAAATGGATGAACTGAATGAAACCCAGGGAGTTCAAGTGACTGGCCTTAAGATGCCACGCTAACTCTGATATTGGGAATAGGAGCCTGGAGACCCAGGTGCCGCTACCTAGGTCCTAAGCTGAAGATGGCACAACTGCCTGGTTGCATCACCCAGATAACACTGCAAGTGAGGCTTAAGCAGTTTGTAATGACACCGGAAACTCCAAGCTGATAAACTGATGATTCTTTAATTCAATCAAGCTGCGTGCATCTATACATGCAATTAGCATGGCTGAATAAACTCTGGCACAGTTCACACCAGAGTTTATTGCTCCTAGGCACAGTGTTTACATGTGTGCCCAGGGCCACAGCATGTTGAGCTGGGGTGGTGCAGCCCCAGCTGGCAAGGTGTCACAGGGATTAGCCTACCAGCCTGGAGCTGCTTTGCCCCAGCTCAACATGCTGCAGAGGGACTGGCTGGGGCATCAGGGCGCTACAGTGTGGGGCTAGCTGGCGGGCAGGCCCTGCACTATAACACCCTTGTGCCCTAGCCAGCTCCAGTCACTGTCTACCTGTGTGTTGTGGCACACTAGATAACTCCGCTGTAGGATAGAACTTGTGCTGGGCAGTACTATACCACAGTGGAGTCAATTAATTTACTGTGGCCTAATAGTGCTGCACGTGTAGATAGTGACACTACTGTGGAGCTAATTAGGCAACTCCGCAGTAAAGCGCACATGTAGATGCATCTACTGTGGTTTCATTTACTTCTCTCGCTGCATTGTGTCTTCCCCGAAAGGTTCTTTAGAGCAGTTGTGATCCAAAAAATGTCAAAATGATCTCTCTCTGATCTGACACTGGAACCACTTCTCATAACTGCTGCCAGTTCTGCTGCCAAGTGGTTTGGGTTTCAGAAAGCCTTTTGGATACAGACACTTTTGGATGCTACATCATATATTTTAGGATGTTCTTGTGGCACCAGACCCATGAGGGGCCATGGTCAAGGAATGTACAGACTAGTAGATTCTATTTAAATATTCTAAATTTTTCTGAAAGGGACCCGTGACAAAGCTAGGTTGAGAAACAAGACAATCTGAGTTCAAGGTCTGATTCTTAACAGCAAGACGATCAAGTGACCTGGGGCATGATTACTGTATTTTCTCACATACAACATGGCCCCAAATAGGATACACACCTTGTTTTGAGGAAAAATGAAGAAAAACAGTTATTTTCTTGAAAATACTGGTAAGTAGCCATAACTGAATAGCAAATTCTACAGATTCAATCGCTGCTGGAGCACTTACCCCAGCACAGCTTTACTGCCCTGTAGAAACTGCCATTACCATATTTCCTCACTTATAGCATGTATCCCAACACCTAGCAGCTGAATTTTGGAAAAAAGTTGCTTCTTGTATATGAGAAATTATTGGCTGGCAGCTTCTTACCAACTTCAAATAGCTTGGTGGCATTGAAGTCTTCACTTCCTGCAAGTAAGCTCACTTCTGTGGCAGCTGTCCTGAAGGTATCTTCGATCCCTATACAAACACAAAATGATGGTGGTTAGATTTTCTCCTAAGAGGTTAGGGAACAATGCTACCTCCCTCCTCCCCTGCCCCGCTTATATTGCCCAAAGCCCTGTTTATACTGCCTGTATTGAAATGAATACTGGAGGAAAACACTGAAAGTAAGAGAAGTGGAAGGATTCCCTCTGCCAAGCGCAAATGCAGAAGTGTGAAACTGTTTAGAGACAGCCTCTGCTGTGCCTTTTTTAAATGCTGGGATGCAAGAAGGCATGCTAGCTGATAAGCAAGGATCCTGGTTTCCTCTGATTAAAAAAACCCCCAATTTTTATATTAAAAAAGTAATATATATTGTATATTTAAAAAGTTATATATAATATAAAATATAAAAAGTAATATATATATCTATATATTAGTGCTGTTTCATTCTGATCACGGAAAAATGTGGATTTTGGGTTACTTTTTTCAATCTGAAAATTGGAGTTTTTTTTTAATCAGAGAAAACCAGGATCCCTGCTATAATAAGCTTGTCTCTGAGTTACTAAAACTGCACCTATAAACCAATGAGATGTGAATTCACCTGTGTTATACTCTCCAGTACATTCTCTTCTTCTGCTAGTGGAGTGAAAGGAGTGGGTGAGGGATAGATAAACAAAAAGTCCACAATTCTTAGCAGATTCAAGCTCCAGTTAGACATTTATTATTAGCAGACACAAATATGGATCACTAGAAAATCTGTGGGAGATAGTCATCACTGGACTAATTACATTTTGCAAAAAAAGGACATCCTTTTTGCTGCTATTTTATTTAGCCCATGTGTGCTCATATTTGCCAGCTATTAAAACAAAAAAGCCCTTCAGACCAAGCATTTAAATTAGTAAATGTTTGTTCTATTTTACAAGAGATTTCCAAAGACAGCAGCACACTCTGAATGTGGCAAGCTGTGTGATTAATAAGGCAATTTACCTTCCATCCCCTTCCCAGTGAACATTCTCTAGGTCCCGTAACTGGGGCAGAGTAACCCAAACTGGTGGCTTACAAAGCTTCAAAACAGCCCCAGGCTTCTTTTCAATAAATTATGGTGAGGTTTTGCTTTAGCTCGAGCAGTAGATGTAGAAGAATAGATACCCGAGAATCCATTACAAGGCAATAATTCACTGCAGAGGATCTTCTGGCATTATAAACAGTAGAAGCTGAGCTTTGCCCCCGTCATTTTAAAAATGTCAGCACAGCCTCAAAGAGTGAATTACGTTCTCCTTGCTGATCCTTGGGTGTCTGTTAAATGACATAATGCATTCTTTCAAATTTGCCACTGTTTGATGCTAGTAGGTAATAAATACTGGAGACTAGAACTGAGAGACACATGGCCTTTTGGGATTTAACCCATTGTGTTTAGGTTGGAGGAGGAGGGGAGTAGGTTCAACAATAAACTTACTGCTGGATTGTGTCACACATGGAGACATGGCTAGCAAATAGAGGGTCTGATGGGTGTGTGTGCCTGTGTAAGACAGCAGCTTTCACGCACACTTGACTGCTTGTACAGGGACTTTAAACATTCTCTCTCTAGTAATGCCATCATTTGTATAGTCCCAGTGTCATACTTTGAATCTGAAAGCTGTTTTAGGTCTTTCACCTTTCTGAAGCACAAAGTAAAACATGACCAAGGTGTTAGTGAAATGCATGCTCTAGCACAGTGTTGTGTTGGTTTGTGTCATATCAGTAAGGGGTGCAATTGTGCAGGCTTGGGGTGCATCTACATAAGACATTTACTGCACAGTAAACTAATTAGCTGAACATTAAACATTTCAGTGTCTACACATGCACCCCTATTAGGCTGCATACAAGTACTATCCTGCTGCAGAGTAAAAAATTCCACAGCAGCGCAGGTTTAGACGCTGCCCAGATGCTTGGGGCCCAAGGGTGCTTCAGTACAGGGGCTGTCTGCTGGCTAGCCCTGCACTGAAGCGGCCTCGTGCCCCAGCCTACCCCTCTGTGGCATGTTGAGCCAGGAGAGCATCCCTGGGCTGGCAGGCTGACCCCTGGGGCCCCCTGCCAGCTGGGGCTGCTCTGACCTAGCTCAATGTGTTGTGGTCTCAGGAACATGTGCAAATGGTGTGCCTGGAGCAATAAGCTCCAGAGTTTATTGCTTCACATTAACATGCATGTGTAGATGCACCCTCAGGGTATGACAGAGTGCCAACTCACTGTAGTAAAAATTTTTAAAGATCTAAAAAACAACTAATTTGTGAAGTACTTTTTAAAGGCAGCCTTAAATTCATTATAGGGTGGATGTTAGACTTTACATATATGCTCAGTTGGAGGATGTCCTTGGATTGGAACCTTTAAGCAACCAGAGATGGAAGTATTGTTATAGTGAGAGGCCTAGGTGAGATGGCCTTTCTTGGCCCTATGGTCAAAGCAGGTTTGAGCCAGAACTGCACCTTAATCTAGCTATTACATAGATTTATTGCAGGGCAAGACCTCTTGTTTTGAGACTTCTCCAATTAGTAGGTAACATGGACTGAACAAGACAGAAAAATATTTATGCTGGACCTCCTTGGTTTTCTCATTTATATTCAGGAACTTCATACTGAAAAGGACAAGAGCTTTTGTGATGTGGTGTGTTTAGAAAAATTTCCCTTTAATCAAATACCAACAGCATTTATAGCTTGTAGAACGTAAGGCCCCACTGGTCCTAAAACACCTCCGTGGATGTGTGGCACAATCCATTAAGAGGCTTCTTTTCTGAACCAGCATAGAGCTATTTGCTCCTGATGTCAGGGCAAGTGTGGCATTTGAATATTGCCATGTATGTTCTTTCTGCCAAACAGTAGAAATGTGGCTGCTCTGAAACTGCAAATGTGTGCAAAGTGAAGAGATTGTCCGTTTCTTTGGGCAAGAACTATGGTATTGTAAATACAGAATGTGCAGCTGGGCAAGCAACAACCGATGTGGACTGGCAGTTCACGACTGGTCTCAATGTGGACTGGCAGGTTTTGAGAGAGCGCAGCCAGCAACAACAAAGTTTGCCTTCAGCGAGAAACCATGTCTGACAAACTTAGCCCCAGCAAGGAGAGATGTCCAGTAACAGACATTTGGTTTAAGAACCACATGCAGTAAATCCACCCAAAATTGAAAATGCAGGCACAGTACCTTACGGCCTAGCTGGCCTCCTATTATACTGCTGCATATAAAATCCAGGTTAATAAAGTAAGCCTCAGAACCAGGGCACAAATGTCTAGGGAAAAAAAACACTCAAACGTAGCCAAGGAACAAAGGAAACTCTGATCTTCAAACGTGTGGTGAAGACCAAGACCCTGCCCCATCCCCATCTGCACCCCCACCCTGAGCTAGTGCTTTGGCCTCTGGCACACAGACTCTTCTTATAGAAAGTTGATTCCATCAGCCAAACCTGGACAGTTTGGGCGATCACATGTCCTTGACTCTGTGGCTGTGCAGGCATAGCCGCAGGACCTGGTCCGCTTCTGATTGCCACTCCCACAGGTCACACTGCAAACGGACCACGGGCTCCAGTCTCCGTCACCATCAATATAATCTGAATGAGAACAAAGATGAGGAAGGAAGTGAGAAAAAAAAAGATGAACCCCTACTACCAAAAAACTACTGTACAGTGTTTTTTATTAAGTAGGCATAGCATGAATGGAATCCAGATGTGTCTACCTGAAACTTGGGCTGAATGCCAACCCTAAGTCTGCTGTTTAAATGGTTTTCACACTTGACTCTCCTTGGGGAAATGCATGCAACATTATTTGAAAAAATATTTCCTTTCTCTTTTGACCTCTTGGCAGCGGAGAATCTTCAGCTGTAAAGCTGGGTCGTGAACTAATAGTACATGCATTCAAACATTATTGTTCTTATGCAGGAATAGGCTTTCTGATCACCAGCTAGAAGGACATACAAAAATAATAATAAAAGAAATCCTTTCTCCTCCCCAGAAAATGTAGTAATAGTACCACAAAGGAACTGGATGCTTAGCTGCTTTTTAAGACAGAATGCATCTCAAGCATTTTTTTTTGAGGGCAACTTGTGTGTGGGTATTTTTGCTTTATCCTTCAAGCATCAGAGCAAGAGAAGGAGGAATCACTGCTGTAGTGAACTGAATGAACACCCTGCACTCCTGGGAGCAGAGGTTTTATTGCAGTTCACAGACCATTTATCATTGCTCAGGGTTTGATCCTGCAGCATTAGCAGTTTTTTGGGGAAAGAGCCCAATCTTTTTTGTTCTGCGTACGTACAGCCCCTAGCATTACAGGGTTTTGGTCTGTGACAGCAGCTCCCAGCTACCGCTACAACAGAAATAATTAATGAACAGGACTATTCTCAAATTCAATTAAACAATATTTCACCTGCTATCTTGAGAATTTTTCAGTGTTTACGCTCAGGTCTCCCTTGGCCAGGGAAACTATCTTAAACTGCACGAGCTTGACATGTGCTAAAGCCACCTATGAAACTGGCTTAGCCAACAAATTTCAAGCGCTAGTATAGATGGGGTCACTATGTTGCCTCTTCTGCATGGGAAGTCTGAAAAATAGTCCCTGCTAACAGGGGGCGTTGGATCTTAATCAAGTGCAATATCATAATCTCAGTCAAAAGACCAGGGAGAAGGGATGGCTTGCCATTAAGACCATGCTGTGATTTGCAAAGGAGAAGACTTTAATGACTACCTAAGTGTTGTACATATTTCAGTACATGATATACAATATATGGTAATAAATAGGCAGGGCCAGATTTTCAGTCAAGTGTCACCTACTCTTTCTGTTTCTACACTTGTCATCTTTTTTTTTTGCAATACTGTGCCCATAATTGTTTGTGGAAACAATTTAACTTGACTGAGATGTCCAACCACCTACTCCATATGTGGTATCATTAAATATGCCCACAAGCAAATGCAGGTACAAAAAAGAGGAAGCACTTCATAATCTTGACTCGCAATACTACCTAAAAGTCAATGAGAGGACTAAGTCACAGTTAAGACTCTAGAGTTAAAGCTCCAAAACAGGGAAAATTAAGGCTGAAGCAATCCTTTGCAGGTGCTCTATGGGATCTAAGCAATGCAGTGCAAACAGTAAGGAATCAAACCACAACTGTGAAACCCTACGCTATGCTATCTACAAATCTGCCTATGTATTGCCTGATCCTAAAGGTTCAACCCACCTGGAAGCCCTGTGATATATACTAAACCAACTCCCTGAAGTCATCCCAAGTGTACACAAATAGATTTATGAGACAACAAGTAAATAAGTACCAATTTCTTTCTGTTTCCTGGTTTTTGCAAGTCTTTCAAGCACCAAGCTGAAAACAATTGTTTCCATCATGACACATCTGGAACAGAGTTATACATACAAGCTCAAATGCAAAATGTTCCTGCTGAACACACCACTCTTCACACATGTCAGTTTAACAGGTCTTATTTATGTATCAACAAACGTGACCACATTGTTGATCTCACTTATTTCTCCACCGGTTGTATTTTAGTTTCCAAACCACTGCACATGATTCTAAATTTACACTTACCCTTGCACCAAAAATAAATATGAAACCTTGTTTCCTCTGTTTAAAAAAAGTATACTTTTGACTAAAAAAAGTTCCTCTTCTGGGATAACTGGTATGATTTGCAAGATTATAGCCTTAGTACTGGAATGTGGCTACCACCGTCTAGTTTGTGAATCTGCACAGATTTGTATTTAAGAGCTGATGAACAAAAGCCACATGCTGAAAAACTGTTTTGCTTGGCTTACTTTCAGCGATGCCTCATCATTCTCATTTCCCCCAAACTCGTTTTACAATCCCAAGATGCCCATAAGAGGTCTGGAATGCAAACTCACCATACTCTGTCTGCTCCTTGGATTCAAAAGTCCGGTGACCGGGTGCATGCCTATCCCACCCACCGAGAGGGTTTAGGAAGTTGCTATCTTCGGTGGTGCTGTCATACTTGTAGTCCTGATCACCACTACTCATGCGAGTCAAAGTCGAGGACCTCTGCCACCAGTTTCTCCAGTCAGGTGATGGGACTGACCAGCTGGGCTTGCTGCTTTCTTTGTGCAGGTCCTTCTCTGGTTCAGCATCAGTAGCGTCAACCACTTCTATGGTAACCTGCAGAGTTCAAAACATGTAAGGCTGATGAGCATGCAAAATCCAACAGTAGATGATCGTCACTGGGGAAAGAGGGGTGTGTGTGTGAAAGGGGAGATGCATTTGCCTAAGAGGGAAGGTTTCTATGCAGCAGAGACAAATGACTGATGTTGGCTCTTGTAATCCTGCAGGCTTAGCCTGTTGTAAACCATATGTGGATGATTACTGTGAATCCAGAGCCATGCAGAAACTGAGCGATTCCTTCTGCTACCTCTGCTGATTCCAAGCTTGGTACAAAGGGCAGAAAAAGAGGCTTGGCAAAAATAGCAACCCAAACTCCCTCTTAAACCTTTGCAGTGGATCCTTCTGCCTTACAGAGAAAAGGCTACGGTAGAGTTACGAACAGGATGAAAGAAAATCAATGCTTCAAATTCACTGGGCCTGAATTTGAAACAAGTGTGTAAACATGCTAGATCACACAGGTAACCCTTTATTGATTTTTCCCTTTTTTTCCCCCTTTTCTTTTTGCCCAGTGGCTAATAACTACTCTAAGTACAAAGAAATGAGGAAACGTGTCATTCTCTGCTTGCCGAACGCCTGCACAAAAGTTGGCAACAACCTTGCTCATAGCTACCTGACAGAGGATTTGTCCTTTGGTGCAATTGCTAATGGTTCTTCTGTATTCCAGAAGGAACACAGTAATACTTAGTCACTGGTGTAAGAAACCAGTGCATGTGGCCACAAAGTCATGATTATCCTGACTTTACCCCCGGCCATCATGCCTGACTCACTCTTTCAAAACATTATGATAAATAAAATATGTTTCATGGCACTATTTATCCGCAGACCTCCAACCATTTAGTAAAAATGAGTCAACTGTCTTATTTTTTTTAAAGGAGCCCTACTTTGAAGGCCCTTTGAAGGAGCCTTTTTTATACTGCACAGAAAGGGAAGATGGCACACAAATAAGAGTCCTATGGGCTTCAGTTAGCTAGAGATAGAGCTAGAAGCACAGATTCCAAGTTCCCTGCTCAGATCACACACATGCATTCAGACAAGTAACTGTGTATAATAACATATACTATTATGAAACATATACTTTTGCTACTTTTCAAAGCATAAACAATGAATTATGAAATTCCTGGACATCAGGGTTAGCTGTCAGGGATTGTTGGTGTATATGCTGCAAACACATGGTGTGAACGTAGATGTATTTGGGGCACAGTTATTGGCATGCACTAGCTGCTCTGGGTTGCTCCCACCTAACAAGCTAGGTGAACCGAACAGCCACAGACCTGAACAAACAGCTGCTCCCATCTCTATCATGTATTGCATGTAAAGGAATGCAAAAATCTATGTATTTTAGAATTAATTTGATATAAAAAAATCTTTCTGAAAAGTGCTTTCATAAAATTGGGGCTTTGGAAAACAGAGAGAAAATGCATTATGCTGCGGGACAAAAGTATTTTGGATAAAAGCTTTATGGTTTGATAAAACTATTGTTAATAAAATTCACAGTTTGCCTGGACACTCACATAGCCTCTCTGGCAAAAGCAAGTCACGTACATCCTACATGGATTCTGCTACCTGCGATCTACAAAGGGAGGTGACACAGGAAGTGGAGTGGCTCCAGCTGAGGAGCTGCTGCAGCTCAGTAGTGCAGAACACACCAGTGCTGTTACAAGACAATGCACGTTTCCTTTTTTGCAGAAACAAGCCATGGCATTTACACTCTGCTTTTCCTTTGACCACTGGCAGAACAACAGAGATGAAATGATTGAGAAGATCTTAGGAAGCTCCACTGGGATTGTATAGCAAAAGCAATACAAGTATGCAATTGTGTCAGCAAATTAAGTCTCTGGGTAGGAGATAACAAAACCCCTGCTAGACACTTCTGTCTTTCTGCTCATGTTAAGGGGGGAAGGGGAGGAAATCAAAACAATTACTTCAGCAGAAAGTTCACTGTAAGCTACAAAACGAGAATTAAAATGGACTTCATGTGTATGAAACTATTAGTGTCAATTCACAAGTTTAGGATTCTGTGGATCCAAACAAAATAGTTTTGTATAGCCGATAAGTGGCAGTAAACAGAGCGCTTTGTAACACTTTAAAGGCCTCATTAGTCATGATTGGAGGGCCTCGTCATTGGTGAGCATTGATTCATTAAATAAAAAACCCCAAGTCCATTAACTTTAAAACTAAACTAAAGGAAACAGAAAAGGGGCATATCCAAAAAGGAGCATTTCACAATCCATTTCTTTGCTGTTTTTTTGTTGTTTTATGATTAACCAGGATGAACCTTGCAAGCAGACATCATCTGAAGGTTCCCAAGTTTCTAATTAAAAATACGTAACTCAGCTCTCTAATTATGCAAGGCAAGTTTGAATCGGCTGCTCTTCTTGCTCCGTTTGTAACATGTTCGCTATCAGACAGGCTGCTTATGGATAACTTCAAACAATAAAAGGTGGGTGGCTCCATCTTGAAATAAGCAGCATTTCTTTCTTCCCCTTCTATGTCAACTTTGATCAATTGTGATTAATTTAGCTAGTCATGCCAATCATCTCAATAAAAATGGATTCAAAACACCCCTGGTTTTGCTGTCCACCAGTCCAGAACATGACCTACTAATGCAAACTGCAAGGAGTTAACCCATTAGAAAACTAAGGGGTTAGTATTAAAATGTGTCCTGTGCTGTTCACTTCACTTACTCTGGAGACCATTTACTCATCTAAAAATACTTCTAAAATATCCTTCACCAGAGACTGCAGCTGCAAGTTTGCAAGTTCACACATTTTTTTTAAAGTTTGTGTGTCCTGTAACTTGACCAAACAAAGTAAAATACATAAAAAACCCAAGTTCCAACAAGAGAGGCAAAATCAGAGGCAATGAGAAAATTAAAAAGGGCTTGCCAAACCAGGATTTTCCTCTTATCAGCTGCTTTGTGAGTTAACATCAGACTTTTTTTCTGTTCCTGTGCCACAGTATCCAATATTGCAAGGGGGAGCAGTAGAGCAGTGGAATGGGTCAGACAGCAACACCCTTTACAGTACATAAGCATGGGTAACCTTGACGAAAAACTGAAAGGGCAGGACAAGCAAAAAGTTCAAATGAAAGTCAAGGTACAGGTTCCAAATTCGGACCCCCCCCCCCCCTTACAGCTGCTGGC